GTATCTAGAGGGTCTGAAAACTCAGTAAGTATATCGAGAAAGTCGCTAAATCAGCACCGCTGTGTTCCACAACCCGTCAGCTCTCATGTCAGCGAGCAGCGTGTCGGGTCGATTACGTCATACTCTGAAGCGGTCAAATTATCGTACATTATGGGATTTTTGGGATTATTGATCGTACATCGTACAGAGGGCAAAATTATCGTACAAATACGATAATTATCGTACACCTGGCAACACTGATGCTCTCCCGCTCCACAGAGCCGTGGTGTTTACAGGCAGAGAGAAGGTTGGTGCGAAAATATGGACTGGATAACAACCTGGCACGTCCCTGTGTGTAACACCACGGGTTGCAGTGAAAACGTGGACTGGATTTATATCTATACTTAATACTTAATCAATGCTTATAATGATAAACTGGACTGGAGTTGAGTTTTGGGCATTAGTTCTCAGCGTGAGAAAGTGGAGGTGTGGCGTGAGAACATATAAAACCCTCAGATGTGTGTGTCTCACTCTCAATGCGTGAAACTTGAGAGCCCTGAAAGTTTCAACGTCTGTGGTTGTTCATTTCCTGGCTAACTGACCAATTTGATGGATGGCCGTACCTTTCAGCACTTGGACATTTGCTTTGAGCGAGCTGGACTCGGTCTGCAAGCGGTTCTGCTGATGGCCAGCTGTGGTCCCTGGACTTTGCTGGCCAGATGGAATTGATCTTAGAGAAAGCTGATAGATCGGCTCGGCGGAATTGTCCACACTTTTTGTCTGATTGGATTCACCACCTTGAGTTGTACCAGCAGACATTGAAGCAGACAGAAAATTGTTATCGTCTGCCTGACTCTTCTGTTCCCAAAACAACTGATTACAGATTTGTCTCTCCACTACATAGCCTTGAGCTGTTAAAACTAAATTCTTCCTGGATGCTTACGTTGATTGAGGCTCTTCCCCACACCTCCCCCCTCTCACCCCCGTCTGTGATCTGGTTCCTGGAGCAGGCTGAAGGCCGCACAGAATGAACAGTTAACATCAATATTCTGAACTATGGCTGCGCTGGTTTTGGGGACTGGATTCTTTGGGCTCATTTTTCAGATATTCACACAAGTGCTTTCAACATTCATGGCTTCAGATTTACACACCCCTAAACTCACTTACTCCTCTGGCTAATTAAACGTGCTCTATGCAGAGTTTTTTTTTATAAACACCATAGTGTGTCACATTGTTGTTATAATATGATGCTTTGTTTTTTTTCCTCATCTTCCCTAATGTGGTTTTTAGTTTTTCTGTTGTTAAAGGTAGAGCAACTGTGTTTGTTGCATGACCTGTTTCTCCTGTTCCCCCATGTTTGTCTTGTATGTCTTCTTGAATGGGTGTTTCTTAACTGCCCCCTCCCCCCTTCCCTGAATGTAGAGCACCTTGTGAATTTATTTCTGTGAAAGGCGCTATATACATAAAACTTTACTTACTTAATTACTTACTTACTTTCATACGTCTTGATTTAAGCTTCTGCTGTTCCAGTAGAAAATCTACATAAATCTTTGTTCATGAAACCACAAATGTTTTATCGTTGATGGTTCCAGATTCTTTTGGTACAATTTATGTCATGAATCACGTCTGTCCTGCTCTCATGTCATGTCATAGTTTCTCACAGCCAAGTACTCACTCATTGCTTCACCCCTCCCGTCACAGAAATCACAATCAAGTTCATTCCACTCACCTGCAGTCACCAGTATTTAAGCTCCACTCCACCACAGCACCAGTGCCAGATTTTTGAACGGTTCACGCCAAGTAGTTATCCAGCAATCTCATGTTACGTCTTGTCTGCCTCGTTACGACCCTCCTTCTGCTCTTCGGACTCAAGCCTCTTGCCTCGCCCCCGACTGATACCTCTCTGGATTCTGTCTTCCTGGTTCTGACCCACGCTCTGACTTCTAGATCTTCGCTTTTCGCCTCACCCTCGTCTGACACCGTCTCTGCCTCTGACCTCCTGGATCCGACCCACGTCCGTGTAACCTGACCACGCTTCAGTCCTTGGTCCTCTAACCTGTTTTTGTCTTCAGCCTCTCTGTTAATGACCCCTGCCTGTTCTAAGGATTATCCCCGGCGCAGCGCCGCCAAACACAGAAGTGCAGCGAACCATCATCCAAGGCTCTCCGTGTCACTCAGGAGTTCGGTCCGTCCCACACGCTTCAGTAAAAGAACTCCTGATTCCCGTGTCCTGTACCTCCAGATCCAGCACTCACTATTTAAATAAACTTGTTAAAACTGCTTCGGTGTTTGGCTTTGTGAAACTCAATCCCTCAACCATTACAATTTAAGTAGAAAACAACCGAGAATGTTGCATCATCTGGATTCTGGAAGCAACTGATAAGCCTAAAACAGGCAGAACACATCCAGCAGTATGCAGTGCAATACAAATCAGCTTTAAAAGAAGCTTAACACTGTCTCAGCAGAAGAACCAGCCTCTTATAGTTTCTAATACGTTCAGTGTTTCTGTGCTTTTCAGTGTTTTTTGTTCTTCGCAGCAACCCAGAACATGTTTTGTTACAAAGTCAACGTCGTGCTCACTTATCACAACTTGTCAGCAGATCTTTGCATTTCTTATCTCCTCCTTGAGCTCTGCATCTGTTCTGCTGATTCAGCTCTACAGACTTTACTCCACACAGTCAGACTGGTCCTCTCACACACACCTCTAGATTTGTTCTTGTTAATTTTAGAATTTTATCGTCCATGTTGTTTGCAGGAGATACAGCAGTCAAAGGATCTGTCAGATTATTTCCTAAAAATACCCCCGAGACTCTGCCGTGTCTCTAATTCCACAACGCAAGGAGAAATGTGTGAGGAGGAAGGTGGGCAGGTAATATCCAGTGCTGCGTTTCTGCAACTTGTCATTTTCGACCTTGACTACGCACTCTTCGGCTCCGGTGCCCTTGGGCGATGTGGTTGCCGTGGCAACTGTGCCAGTTTTTGACGACTTGTTAGCTGCCAGGTTTGAGGGCGTGTGTGTGTGTGTGACTGAGATCAATGAGGCATCATGACTGACACACCTGTTCTATTTTTGCTGCTGTTGTTAGACACACACACCTTTTCTCACAGCCGCGTCATACAAACGTCACACACACTCAGGAGGTGATTTATCTTTGATGTGTTTTATTCCTAAATTGACTATTTCTTTTCATTTAATCTATTTCACTCGTTCGATTTGACAAATAAACACTGATCCACAGATGCAAAAATCTAAGAAAGCTCATCAAAATCATGAAAAATCATTGTGTTATGATTCATTAGGTTTTTATTCAAACCCACGTCATTTTAATTTTATGCGGTTGATACAATTCATGTGAGAACTGCATCTAAAAACACTGATTATTATTTTGTTTCCTTAACTTTATTGATCCCACAGTGGGGAAATTTGCACATTACAGCAGCTCAAAACAGGACAGGGTGAGATAGAATAAAGAAAGAAAAGTAAAAGAAAAACAAAAAAAACAATATACTTGTGATATATTACCAATAATTCCAAGTTTTGCTGTTTTCAGATTTGTAATATTCGTCAGCATTAAACCATTTTTTAGGTTTAAACTTCACACAAACCATTAAGATCTGATTCATGGAGCAGTTCTGATTGTGGTTCTGCTCCAAATGTCATCAGCTCATTAAGTAGATGTCATCACTCAATGGCCGACCTTTACATAAGACCAGAAGGTGACCTTCTTCACCTAAGTCTGATGAAAAACCAGACCCTCTTATTGATTGTCTCCCATCCAGCCTGATGTTGCTTTTCTTTGAGGTTTTCATGCCTGAATCTCTTCGGTGGTGTTTTATGAGAGTTATCCATTTTTTTCCTGCTTTTTTTAAGGCTGTGACATGTTTTAAAAAACTGTAGTTTCAGTGAAGATTTCTGACTTTGTGATGCTTCTGTTCGTTTCTCCTCCTTCAGCCTGGCGTTGCATCCGGAGCGCTCCCTGGTAGCGACGGGTCAGGTGGGGAAGGATCCCTACGTGTGTGTGTGGGACTCCTTCACTGTCCAGACGATCTCATTTCTGCGTGATGGACACACACACGGCATCGCCTGCCTGGCATTCAGCGCTGACGGACAGGTCACACACACACGTTTGTTCTTCTATCGTCATGGGGACTTTGCATTGACTTCCATTCATTTACTGGTCATTTCTATAGCCTAACCCTGACTCTTTACCCTAAACCTACCTCACAGGTACATGTCTGACTCTAAACCTTACTGAAACTCAATTCACACCTTAGTCCTCCTAACCCTAACCCACCAACGGTATTTCTCCCAATGGGGAGCGGGCTTTTGTCCCCATTCGGAACAGAGAGTCTGTGAGGTGTGTCGGCAGAATGAGCCAGGGCACAGGCAAAATCCAAAAATGTGAAATAAAGTTTAATAAACAAAGGAAGTGCTGTCGTGGCAGCAAAAAACTTACAGACACCAGGGAACACAGAGGACAACCACACTGACTGTGAGAACAGTACAATGAACTAGGGCTGCCACAAACGATTATTTTTCATAATGGATTAATCACCGATTATTTTTTTTCGATTAGTCGATTAATCGGATCATACGTTAATTGAATATAAAACATTGAGCTTATCACGTCAGAATGCAGCTGCTATTGTATAACCATTGTTAGATTTTAGCTACAGTATATGCTAACAAAAAATAACTGCTGTGGAAGGTAAGTTCTGCTCTGCAGATATTACACAGGTTTCTCTTTCATTTTCTTAAAATGATCCCACACTTGAGCTGCATTGCCAGGTAGCCATGACACCAGAGCCTGTCTGTATAATGTCTTGTGACGTCCACGGCCTACCCCAGTTACCACTACTGTGCATGTGTGTCAAGGACAGAAAGGCAGATGTGGCAGTGGAAGGTTTCAAAGCAGTTTGGAGAGAAAAACTAAGTAAAGAACAACAACAAAAAAAGAAAACGATTAATCGATTATTAAATTAGTCATCAACTATTTTAATAATCGACTAGTTGTTGATTAATCGATTAATCGTTGCAGCCCTACAATGCACAGACAAACACTGAAGACAGGACACAGAATATAAAGGCAAACTAATTAGACAATAAGGAACACCTGGAGCAGACACAAGAGGAAGCAGGTGAGCGAGGGCGGGCTGCAGGGCAGAGAAAACACAGGGAAACACTGAAACACTGAAACCTAAGGAAAATAAACACAGATCATGACAGAGTCCTCAGCTGTACCAGGAAAATGGTCAAAAATCATCCCCACCAGGTAGCAATAACATGTACACACACACACACACACGTTTGTTTCTTGACCCCGTGGGGACCTTCCATTGACTTCCATTCATGTTTTTTAGACTTTATATCCTAACCCTGACCATATACTCTAAAATTAACCTCACAGAAACTTACCTGACCCTAAAACTAACCTAAACCTTGGTCCTAAACATAACCCCACACCTGTAATTTGCATTTGGACCCAGGTCCCCACGATTCATTTCGATCCCCACGAGGCAGCTTTTTTTGGGAAAATTCTCCACAAATTGTAGAAAAAACCCGTACACACACACACACACACACACACCTGCTACTCCCAAACACAGGATATTGATACAGAGTCTGAACATCATTGTCAAAGGAAACACTCCTAAATCAAATCATTGCAATCTTTAGAGTTCATTCAGCCCAAAAGCTTTTTAAAACCATTGTTCATTGAGAGTTGCTCTGAAATACACAATCATTGTGTCAAAATAAAGATTGACATCTGACCAAAACCTCATTGTAGGCGACATCTTGTACAAAAAAAAATTTTTTTTTGCTTTTGACACAACTCTGTTTTATCATTGTATATGAAGGAAGTTATTAGACCTTCTGTAAAGAAGCTGGGCTCTATCTATTGTAATACCTGTAGCCTGTCCACTTCATTTTGCAACCATATACAGTGCCTATAAAAAATATCCACCCTCCTCTTTCTCCCGACTCAACACATATTGACACTTGTCCAGGTTCCCTCTGCCTCAGTTATTGATGAGATGAGAACAAGGAGGAGGAGCCTGTTGTCATATTTTTGAAAAGTGTAGAAAATGCACAATAACTAACTATTTCAAACCCTAAACTTAACTTCTATTACCTTTGGACATCATATCCCTGACCTCACTACCTAACATCAACCAGTAATCCTGATCCCTAATATTAACCACGGACCCCAACCTAAAGAGCCCATGTGGTGTGTCAATAACTGATGCGAGGGGGTTACCTGACGTGTCAAAACCAGACACAGAGTGAACCTGGACAAGTGTCAATACGTGATGAGTTGGGAGTTAGAATGTGTTAGCCTGTGTTTTTCTGCTTTTACTGCTGTCAGAAATCAATCATGGGCAATATAAAACAGTCATTTTATCAAAAAATAAAATAAAATGATGGTCCTGATTCAACTCAGGGAAACGATTATTAAAAAGTACAAGTCATAAGATGGATACAAAAGAATTTTTAAGGTCATGAACATCTCCAGGAGGTTTGTTAAATGCTCAAGAAAATGAAGGAATAAAACTGAGAAATAAAGCAGTTTGCCAAAAGGCATATGGAAAAATCTCAGGTTGCTTCTCAGCAGGAGGCAGTCGAGGTTTACCAGAAGTGACTCTTTTCCACTCGAGTACAAAGCTCAGACTGGTGAAGAACCCAGCAACATGCTGTATTCACAGTGTCTCCCATCTCATCTGCTGAAGCTGAGTGCTCTCAGGTGGCTCTCTCACCATCTTCTTTCTTGCACAGTCATGTTATGTGAGTGAGGTAAAGGCACTGGCACTACACCCAACACCCCTCTATGAAGTGTTCACTTGGTCAAAGTGCACATAAGGGTTTGAGTGTGCAGGATACAAAGGTGCAAAAATGAGAGAATTGGAACAGTACAGGTTACATCATCGACTTGCCTCTGCGTAGTATACAACATCCAAAATGCCAGGATCGGACGCTCTTCTGGCATTTGCACTGCTAAAAATGATAGATCTACAACAAGCAATTGTTTTTAAGAGAAGAAAGCGCATGAACTGAAGGAGGCTTATACATCAGTCTGACCTAAAAGTGCACAAGCATACAATTTGAGGTGTTGGTTGGACGTATTTTTGGTGTGAATGCACCATAACCCTTCTTTTTCTACAAGTTGTTCTTTGATTTTTATTGGCGGTTGGCAGACTGATTCAAGTTAATCACTGCTACCACTAGGTGCTCAGTAGACATTGTCTTTTAATTCGAAACCTCACATACAGCAATGAATTTTGGGTAATACTCGTTTTGCTCTTCCTTAAATTTGCTCTCTCAGCCACGCTGCTTACCGCTTCCTCTGTTTTGACTCCGGCCGGTTACATCATCAACAAGTATTACTGCAGTTGGCCGGTAGACTACAGATCTCTATCATAAGCCAAATTTACCTTGTTTCTACTGTATATTGTTTATATCGTGCATTCCTACATTGAAGATGGCACTACAATTGATCGAGCTATTGTCAATCTTGTCAATCTGGTTATTGTCAGTTAGCAACAGTAAACTAACAGTAAAACTAAACTGGAGAGACTAAATGGTAATAGCTTTAATAGCCAAGCTGCTATTAAAGCTCTCCGAGGGCCATATTTTACGTCATTACTGGCTTGGGAGTATGCCAAAGCAGTCAACCAACTGGGGAGAGATAACAGTGTTACTGTTATGGGTACCAGGACATGCTGGCATTTCTGGTAATGAGAGAGCTGACTACCTCGCAAAAGGTGGCAGTCAGGCTCACTTCAAAGGACCAGAGCCTGTTGTAGGTACCTCAACAACAGTCTGTAGGACTGCTCTACAGGCCTGGATTAGACGTCAACACTCAATCCGCTGGAGGGAGCTGACGGACTCTAGACAGGCACGGGAACTGATTAACGGTCCAAATCTAAGGTTTGGGAAAGTTCTCATCTCCCTGTAAAGGAAAACTCTAAGTACACTAGTTGGAGTCCTAACTGGGCACAATCTGTTCATCCGCCACAAAATAGTGATGGGATTTCATGACAATGGTCTGTGTGATGCCTTTGGCATTGAATTAGAGACCTCGTTGCACCACTTAGATCACTGCCTGGCTCTGAGTAGTCAAAGAAAATCTTGGGGACCCCTTTATGGATCCTGAGAAGCTCAGAACACTGAGTATTTCTAATCTTGTGTCCTTCATCTGAGGGACGAGAAGGTTTGAATAAAGACCAGTGTCTTTTTGGGGAGAGCAATGGACCCACTTACAAGGCCCCCTCTCATATGGATTCTTTATCCATCTCCACTCACCATAAAATCTGTCCAGTGGTTCATAAAATATTTTGTTAACAGACACACGCAACATGGACAAAAACCTCTTCAAGGTGGGTGATTTCCTAACTGTCATCCAGTCATGTACTGTATATAAAACCAGAGGTCAAAATTACATTTTGTTCTTTAACAAAATCTTGCTTTTTTCAGCTGTTTTTTTATGCAAACACATTTTTTTTCTTCGATTGATTTCTCATCCCAAGTTTAGAAAAGCAAACACATCTTTAGAGTTCAGATTTCAGTCATTGGTGTCTGCACCACCCAAATCGATGACAGAGAGGCTGCAGAGTTCGATTCCTCTGACTTTAGTTTGACTGGTTTCAACATCACCAGACAAACTGGCTGCACCTTTTTGGACAGGATGACACCAAAACACAATGTTACAGACTGGTATCTATCTATAAGTGAATCTGAATGTAAGATAAAACACTTAAAAATAAACATAAAGCATATTTGTAAATCTGTCAGTCAGTCTATCAGAGAAAGAGAAAGCAAAACAGGTCAATCGGTTTAAAATGTAAATCATATCCATTATTTTGTTTCTGTCAGTTTAAACTCATTTTTCACATGTTGACATGAAACAAATTAAATCATTGCTGAAAAGAACTAATCTCCCAAATGCTGCATTGTGCCAGACACATTTACATTTGTTTTTCTCACCAGAATGTAGGCTCTTATTGTGAAGGAGTGTTTGGTTTTGTAGGGAAAAGAGATTTATACTGTTGTATTCATTCATCCCTGCTTCTGCTGTTAGAAGTACATCTCTATCAAACGCCACTTCGTCCCTTTGTGCTGACTCCCACAGCGTCACAAATATCTGCTTCTGGATGCAGTTTGAACCAACAGATATGAATCAAAGGAATCAATAAAATAATCATAAATCCAGCTGAATAAATCAAGTGCACAGGTCTTGGGTGCAGCTGATTTATTTATAAATGAACTTTAGTTATTTTTCACTGGAATTTGCAGCAGAAACGCAGAGAAACGAAGCATATATATAATATTCACAGTGTTTGAAGTGGAAACTGAGGAAAAACTTCAGCAAAAAGTAAAACTTCATAAACTGCCACGACAGCTTAAATCCTGAGCTAAAACGTCCTGTTCCAGATGGCAAAGATGTTAAATCCTCGTTCATCACCACAAATCCTAAGGTTTTCTGTCTGAATCCTCTGCTGAATACAAAAAAAGCTGTTTTCTCTAAATGTTTGATAGCTTATTGTGTGAATACTGACTCAGCTGACTTAGCATTTAAACAATTGTTTTTCTGTATTTTAAAAATTTCCTGTATGCTTTTTAAAATCTTAGTATTTCTGCACACTGTCTTAGTCATTCATATTTTGAAACATTCATTTCATTAGGAAGATAGGTGCTATGATTTAGTTTTTGTAACTTATACTTGTAAGAATATTTAACTTAAATTTAAAAGTACTTTCACAATACAAGACCTCACCAATTCGTTCAGAAAAAACTGTTCTCTTTGAAATCTGAACCAGCAAACTTGCTGTTTTTTTATTTTCTTAAGCTACTTTTAGTTTTTAACTCTCTTTTGCTACTTAGAGCTTATTAGCTTTTGTTCAGTTAATTTTAGTTTTAACAAATGTTTGTCTACTTTTTACTTTTAGCTAACCTTTTGCTATCTTTACCTTATAGCTCATCTTTTGCTGAATTTAGCTACTTTCGACACTTTAAGCTTACTAGCCATTTGCTAGTCAAGGTTTTTAATGTCTTTGCCTCTTTTCTTTTTCAGCTGTTTGACTTTATTTAGTTTTAATAACTAACGTGTCTTGTTAGATTTTTCCCATCGTGCTTCACTCAGAGTCCGGTCTGGTTTCTCTGCAGAGGTTAGCTTCTGTGGGTCTGGATGCAAAGAACACTGTGTGTGTTTGGGAGTGGAAGAGAGGGAAGATCCTGGCTTCAGCCACCGGACACTCAGATAGGGTCAGATTCTGCCTTCTTCTGTTTGTTTTTGTGTTAAAGCATGAGCACTAACAAATGTTCTCTTTTAAAATATATAAATATATATAAATATTTATTTACAGATATTTGACATTTGCTGGGATCCATTTCAGCAGAACCGTTTGGTGAGCTGTGGAGTCAAACACATCAAGGTAACACCAATGGTTTCTGGTTCTGGTGATGGTTGTATATTCTGTCTGCTGGGACACAAACCCTAAAACACTGAGGTGATAAAACACAAGAAAAAAACATCTCCCTAAACACTTAATGTTAAACCTGTTTGAATATTTTAGGACACATAAGAGGTTACAAGCAGCTTCTGGACACTTTTTTAAAAGTAACTCAAATTTATTACTAGACATGGGTTTTTACGCTGTAAAAACAAGTGTGCATTACCATGTAGCATGGCTTTGCCTGCAGCAGTAGACTTGCAGAATGAACAGTGACCAAGTTCAAATGTGTTTTCTATTCCAGCTTGTGCTTGTCAAGTCAGCAGGTGTTTGTAATTAGGGTAATTGTGTGCCAAGATATTGTTTATTCATAGCTGGAATTGAACCGTGATCTCCCGCATGAAAGCCCATAGTGTTCACCATGAGACCATTGGAGATGTGACAGAAGGCACTGCCACGGGTTGCTTTATATGTGTGCAGAAAGAGGCCATATTGCCAATGCAATTGTTGACATTAAACTGCAATATATTACAGCAATATTAGGGCAATATTAACGTAAAACATCAACTATAAGTTGTGAAGGCACCAAAAGGCACAGCCATCCTTTCGCACAGGAGCTTTACAGGTATAAATGACAATGGCAGCTGTAGGACAAAGCATTTCAGGAGGAGAAACGTGCCAAAGTGGAGATGACTTTGATGGGAACAAATCACAATAGTGTGCACTGCATTGGATGCAATGCACACTGATTAGTTGTGAAACTTCTTTTGGCTTTTCCCTCTTCTTAGAGAAGAGAGTCTCTGCAGTTTTTATAGGAGTTTCTTGTTTTGTGGCAGGAGTTTGTCCAAGACATGATTTGTCTGTTTGACTTTTGTGGGTGTAGTTTGTTCAAGATGTGATTGGTTGGACTGGATGTGACTATTCTGGGTGCGGTTTGAAGTAGCTGGGAGTAACTTAGTCAAAATGGCCAGGAAGTACCTATATGTTTTAAATATAAATATAAATATTAATTTTAGTCATAACACGAGACAGGAAGGTGCTTGTCGCATGAAATTTAAAGTCATTAAGCTAAGTTTACATGTTCGCAATAATTTTACTGTTATCATTACTTCCTCTTTTAAATTGCCCCTCAAGACAAATCAATCTAACCAATCACGGCTAGAACAAACTCCACCCACACAACAAGAAACTCCCCCTACATACTGCAGATACCTCTGCTTGTCTTTTGGGTATCTACACAGCCTCCTTCTACATTTATACAATAAAAAAATTAGTTGCTTCAAATTCTGAGAAGTTTGGGTTTTTAACAAATCACTACTACTTTTCTTTTCTTTAAAAATAAATCATGTGTCTTCAGCCTTAAATTAGATGATTTAATAAAATCTTTTAAAAAGCAATTGAAATAAAAAAATGTTGGTTTTCTTTGTTTGTTTACTTTGTTGTGTTCCTGTCTGCAGTTCTGGTCACTGTGCGGAAACGCTCTCACTCCAAAACGTGGAATTTTTGGGAAAACGGGGGACTTGCAGACCATCCTGTGTGTGGCGTCAGCTAAAGATGATGTCACGTACTCTGGCGCACTCAACGGAGACATCTACGTCTGGAAAGGCCTGAACCTGATGCGAACGATTCAGTCTGCCCACAGCGTGAGTTTCCTGCTGTCATGTCTTCACTTCCTGCAAGACAAAACATAAAACATCAGTCATCTTAGTGAAGATCATCTTGTGAATGTGTATTTTTTAAGATGACTAATAAAACCAAAAATAAGTAAATATTGTTTTGATTTTCAATGCGTTATACAACAACATTGTGTGTGTTCAGGCTGGCATCTTTAGCATGTATTCCTGCGAGGAAGGCTTCACCACCGGAGGCAGAGACGGCTGCATCCGGCTGTGGGACGTTGACTTCAAACCTATCACCAAGATCGACCTGCGAGAGGCTGAGCAAGGATACAAAGGTATAATGCACCAATCATTTCTGCAGTTCATTTTAATTCTCCTCCCTGTGCACTGATGCAACCACTCCTGTGCTTCGGCATTGTTACTCTGCTGGCTGCACTGTGCACGTCTTTATTTCTTGTAAGGACCACTTTTGTTCAAATGAAACTACTTTTGCTTACATCTGAGTTCAGTTTTGTTTAATTTTTGTTGGTTTTATTCATGTATTTAACCATTTTTTACAGTTAGTCTCACTGAGTCAAGAGAAATCTGTTTGAGACAGTTTGATACACAACTATAAAAGGAATTATATGGTTTTCTTTGGGTTAAACAGAATCTATAAACCTGAGAGACCTGTAATCCTTCTAATGAGAGCTTTGACATTTGTCTCTATGTCCGCTAACCCACATGGACAGAGTATTTAAACATTTTCTACGATCCCTTGGATCCCTGTTTCTTTATTCTAAAGACACATTGCATCTGTCACCAAAAAAAAGGTGGAAAAAAAGAGAAAAAGGTCATTTATAAAAAGATCTTTTGTCTGGTAATACCTCTCCTTCAGTGTGTGACATTTCAAGCAAATCATCATCCGACTGAGGTTTTTCCATTCCATGAATCTTGGGAAAAGCAAAGATATAGATGTTCATCCAGTTTTAAGCAGGTGACAGGCTAGACAAAGAGCAATTCAGAGCACAAGTATGGATGGAGAAAATCAGGGAAGTGCAGCACTGCTCATCTGGACTTGGGATACCGGGACCCAACCCTGGAGCCAGGCCTGGTGGAGGGATTTGTTGGTGAGCATCTAGTTAAATGAGCCTCTACCCGTCAGGCTGATCAGCCCAGACAAGTAATGTGGGTTTGCTGTTGTGGCGGTGATAGCTGAAGGCAGGGGCCTTGGGGCTCTTAAACACTGGACCAGCTCTTTACCCTTACAGTATTAGGATCCTTAAGGGATTATGGAAGTTTGCTCATCCTGTCTACTTTTGTGGATTCAAAAAAAGCATTCAGTTTGTGTTCCTTGAGGTACACTGTGGGTGCTGTGCAAGTATAGAATGGGAGTCCATTGCTATGGGCCATTCAGTCCTTATACAAGTGGTGTGAGAGTTTGGTTTTCATTGCCTGCAAGTTGGACCTCTTCAGATGGGGAGTTGGACTCTGGCAGGACTGCCCGTTGTCACCATTTCTGTTCAGAACTTTTATGGACAGAAATTCTTGGTGCAGCCAGGGTTCAGAGGGAGTCCAGTTCAATGGTGTCTGGATTCCAGCTCTACTTTTTGCAGATGATGTGATTCTGTTTGCTTCATCATGTCGTGACCTGCAGCTCTTACTGGAGCGGTTCGCAGCTGAGTGCGAAGCAGCTGGGAAGAGGATCAGCACCTCCATCAGAACGCTCTCCGTCTCTCGAAGCGTTTCCAGTGTTGGTGTGTTTCAAATTTACTTCAGTGGAGGCGCCAAAAGTTATTCCATGCTCTAATGATGAGGTCCAAACCTTTTCAAATGCGTTGGTCATCTGGTAAGGATGCCTCCTGGACTCCTCCCACCGGAGATGCTCCAAGTAGTCTTTGAGGAAAACCTGTAAGAGGTGGCTGTGGAATGTTTCAGTATTTTTTCTATCTTACCAGGGGTGTAACAATACATTAATCCACATCTATATATTGATTAAAATATTGATTCAACTACATCAAGCCAAAATGAAAACATTAATCCATATCTGTCCGTCCATCCATCCATCAGTCCATCCATTTTCTTCTGCTTTTCCGTGGGCAGCAGATCCATATCATCATCATCATATATTATAATATATTGAGTTATATATAAAACTCTGATATTTATTACTTATTGACAACTTATGAATGATATTTTAAATTTATGTTGACCGTTTTTAAACTTTGACTTCAACTGTTTTAGTTTAATTTTTAAGAGTATCTCTTTAAATCCTAAAATCTTCTCTCTATTTTACTCTCCTGATCATAAATCCTTTTCTTTTTTAATTTTTATTTATTTATTTTTTTTTAGCAAAACACAACAC